TTGGTTTGTGATGCTTTGGAAAAATGTGAAGCTGAATCAGGAGCAATTTTTTACAACACAGTCCAAGCAAAAGAGTTATGGTGATAGGAAGGCTCGTGATGTGGCATTCATGATGAGTGAGAGGGTTCTACTCAGAGTTTCTCCCATGAATGATGTGTTGAGATTCGAAAAAAAGGGCAAGTTGAAACTCGGTATATTAGTCTTTTAAGGTTCTAGAGAGACTTGGTGAGGTGTCCTACAGACTTGCTTTGTCACCTATCTTATCGGGAGTTCATCCATTTTTCCATGTTTCTATGCATAGGAAGTCCTATGAGGATCTGTCATATGTATTAGATTTCACATTAGTGAAATTGGACAAGGATTTGACTTATGTTGAGGAGCCGATGGCCATTTTGAGCGGATAGGTCCGAAAGTTGAGGTCGAAGAATATTGCATCGGTGAAGATTCAATGGAGAGGTAAACCAGTCAAGGAGGAGACTTGAGAGACTGAGCATGATATGCGGAGCTGATATCCTCATCTCTTTGGCATCTTATGTATGTCTCTATACTCATTCGAGGATGAACATTTGTTTAGAAGGGGAAGAATGTAACGACCTGGCTGGTTGTTTTATGTATTTGAGTCTCATTTCCCCTTTTGAAGCTTTTAGTATGTGTAAATTTTGTCATTTGACTTACGAGGATAGTTGGTTTGATTTCGGGGAAGTTTGTAATCGGTATGGAACACTTAGTACCTAATTTGGCAACTTAAGCTGGAAGTATTAACCAAGGTTTGACTTTATGTGAAAATGACCCTGTAATGGTATTTTTATGGTTCCAATGGATTTGTACGGTGATTTTGTACTTAGACGTAATCCCGCAATTGAATTTGGAGGTTCCTAGGATGATTTGTCTCTTTTTGCCAAAAGTTGCAATTTAAAGGTTTACAAATTTCCTACGTTTGACCATGGGTTGACCTTGTAGCTATCAGGCTCAGATTTTGGTTACAGGACATGGAATAGGTTTGTTTTGTCATTTGAAACTTGTGTAAAAAGTTTAGTGTCATTCCGAGTTGGTTTGGAAGGAATTGGATGTTTGGTTGTGATTTTAGAAGTTTTTTAGATTCATTATGAATTCGATGCATTTTGGTGTTCGATTTGTGGTTCTATAAATTATTTTGGTGTTTTGAGCTCTCGTGCGAGTTCATATGTTTATACCCTTGTGTGGATGTTTGGTTTGAGGCCTCTCGGGGGCTCAAGTGAGTTTGAGACGTGTTTCGGATAGTTTTGATCCTTGATTCAGGTTTCTGGTGAAGCAAACCTCGTATTTGAGGAAGTATGCTCGAATTTGTGAAATCCGCAATTGCGTAGGTTTGATCGCATTCGCAAAGTGGGGCTTCCTGGGGGGATCTCTCAACTACAAGGAATTGGTCGAATTTGTGACAGTTGAATAGGCAGCTCGAACCTCGCTTTTGTGAAGTGGTCATCATATTTGCGATGAGGGATAGGAGCAGCGCATTTCGCATTTGCGAAGTTCTTTGTCGTAGTTGTGACATTCTATAAGATGGGCAGACTTTGCATTTGTGATCCCTTGGTCGCATTTGCGGAGGTCGTATTTGCGGACCTTTAGTCGCAAATGCGACATCTGTAGTTTATTAGATGGGATATCGAGACTTAGTCTTATTTTATCACATTTTGAGCCCTAGACTTGGTGGGAGGCAATTTTTAGAGGCGTTTTCACACATAGCTATTGGGTAAGTGATTTTCACCCAATTTTGATATTATAACTTGATTTCTTATCGATTTTAACATCAATATCATGAAATTTGAAGGGAATTTTGGGGGATTTTGCCAATGTTTTAAAAAATAAAATTTGAGATGTGAGAGTAGAATTGGACTTGGTTCTAAAAACTAATCATATATTTGGTCTCATGGGATTATGTATAATCCAGATCTGCCTCTCGACTCGGATATTTGACAGGGCAAGCTCGGGATTGACTATTGTTGACTTTTTGAGATTGGGTAAAGATTTTGACATTATTAATTGAAAGTGATTCTTTTTTGCACTGTTTGATGTTATCTAGTCATGTTTTGCTAGATTTGAGTCTAGCGGAAGTGAATTTTAAAGGAGAAGTATTTTTAGAGTATTGAATTGGCTTGTTTGAGGTAAGCATCTTACCTAACCTTGTGTGGGGAAATACCCCTTAGGATTAGGTCTAAATTGCATATTTGTGTTATGTGAAATAACATGTATACAATGTGACGAGTGTGTACGAACGTATGTGTGTTTTATGACCAAATATCATGCCCTGGCCTTGGGGAGTATGACCGATGCTCAATCGAGATATCACAGTCAAACAAGCCTACTTGATGTCATCTACCCAACCTTACCCATGTACGAAGTGAAGATGAATATCATGAATTAAAAAATGAGAGAATGGCATGTACACCAACAATTTTGCTACCATTAGTCATTTATTATGGTTTTCCAAAATATTACAAGTCCGTAGTCCAAATGTGGAAACATGTGTGACACATATGACATTTCTAGTTTGCTTGACAATTTCAAAATAAAACCCACATTATGTCTATGGAGCCTCTAATTGATACAAAAGAAGTAACATGACAGTTGCAGCGACAAAACCCTGGCTATACCTCAAAACAATGTACACACGAAAATAAAAGAACAAGATCCCAATATGAAGTGGGGCTCACCAAGTAAGTTGAGAAGAGGGTGGACCGCTATCATTGATCGATGCTGCCTATTGTGGAACCACCCACATCTATTACAGATGCAGCAGCCCCAACAAAAGGGACGTTAGTACATATGAAATAGTACTAGTATGTAAGTCTAAAAACCCTCTCAATTAATCGAATAATAGTACAAGAAGAAAGAAACATGGAATCAATGAGAGCCTCAAACAATATTAAAGAGTCAAGTTAAGATATTGATTAATTTTCAAGTAAATATCAATATTTTTAAGTTGGGAGATCTTTACTACCGATATACCACCTTGATTTTAGTACGGAGTCCGATCTCAACCCGATCGGCTAAGCCGTCTCACCCCAAGACATCCAATCACAACACCACTACGTGCGCAGTGTGGTATCCGATCTCGGATCGATCGGCTAAGCCGTCTAACCACAATGTCGTGTGGGTTGACATCATCTTTTGCTATAAATCCTCTCATCCCAATTAAGTGGAATAATCTCAGCACATCAATCTTATCCCAATTATGGGAAATTGTCTTAACACATCGGCACAGGGATTTACCCCTCAATCACTCCTACACTGGCACGTGTAGTTTTGGGGTTAGTTTATTTCAACCTACCTTCCTCGGTAACTAATGATACTCCCAAAACATTTATTATATAAAGGAGTTAAAGCTCATTTTATAATCCTTCACACATTCTTTCATTTCATTGGCACTATTCGCCACAAGGGTAACTTTCATTCTTGGCACGATGGCCACATATTACATCTCGTACTCACTTCTTTCACTTTCAGGCATCATCATAGGTTATCAATAATAAGACCATTTGAAATCAAGAATTTAAGTAAGTATATGAGCAATAGGAGTCTTAAGCACAATGAGTTTTTTTTCCTTCCAAAATTAGGCATAATAAACATGCAATTAAAATATGATTTTGAATCATAAACATTGTTCATACTTGAATACATTCCCAAAGGAGAACATACTATGATATGAGCAATTGGAACACATTTTAAGTATATATCTTTCGACACAAAGCTTATTTGGAATAATCGAATTTATAGGAATGGCTGGGAACATGAAGAAAACATGTTGGTCCAATCACACTTGAAACTTACGAGAACATCATGGAATTCGATTCTACAAGAAACGTTTAGCCAGCATACCTCGTTGTGCCTTCCTTAAACTAATACAATATTCCAAAAATCCTAGCGACTTCAATCTATTAGAAACATGACAAAATCAAACCATAATTAGGAAGAGATACATGGGTTCAGCTCACTTAGGCATTTCATCAAGTACTAGGTATGCGAATTGGTTACAAGGTTCTTTTATGGAATTTCCTTAATCCTATCACCAATCCAACGCCAAAAGTTTACCCATATTTGTTCAGTGACCTCCCCACCACCTTTATTGGTACATGCATGCACAAAAAACAACTCTCATTCCCAAGAATTACACTCCTCATTACCCATCTTCTACCAAAATTCGAAATTGAGGACTAGGATATGGAACCTTACCTATTAGAAGAAGACTATCAAGCTTCCGTTGTTGAATTCCCAAGGCTTAATCAAAGAGTGGAGTGTTGAAGTGATTGAGCTTCACTGTTTCTCTCTAGCTAGCTCTCCTCCCTCTCAAAAAATGTCTGATTTTGGCTTCAAAAAAGCCCTAATGGCTTTTAATCAAAATGGGATTGGTTTATAAGATCACAAAATGGACCCTCCGAACTCAGTTATGTGGTCACAGAGTGCACTGCAGATCAGGTCTACAGGAAGTGAAAGGCACGACAAAATTGACCTCCAAAATTAGGCTGGTCTATTCAAGTCTATGGCAGGTCTGAGGTCTGCAAACTAGTCATGCGGCCACGAAATGGACCACGGAATCACCCTCCGGAATTTCTCATGCTGAATCTACAATGGAAATTCGGCATGTGAAATGATTATGCAATCGCATAATTGACCATAAAATGACCTCCAAAACTGGCTTTGCTTCTGTTCCACTCAGCGGCAGATCTACGGTCCGTAGAGTGGTTCTGTGGTCGCAAAGTGGACCGTAGAAATACCATATCATGCATAATTATTGTTCCAATTCCTCAATGCATTGCACAACCCAAAAAGTTTGTACCACCTACAACCCTCAAATACGTTAGCCTACCTCGGCACCACGAAAACCCCAGGTTCTAGGTAAAATAGTTTGGCCATTACATTATCCCCCGCTTACAATCATTCATCCTCGAATGAGGGTCAAAGTCTACCATCGGCATCCAATGTCACTCAACTCTTAGTTCACACACCAGCAGTCCCAATTTTGGCTAACTCCCTAAATTTTCAAACATTTCGGCAGAGTTTTCCCTGTATCTGGGCCTATCTACCTGTTAGAGAACCCAAGAAACCAATCCTAACAATATTTTTATAATCCAAACGACGTAACATAACATGAAAACAACACCAATTGTGACCTCATAAACTTTATATTACCAAAAAGGAGCATCCTTAACATAAACTGTACAAGTGTAACATAATTTATAGATAGTAAGCTCTTAACATTTTCATAGAACACAACTACTTAGTTATTCAAACAAATGAGGGTACTTCCTCTTCATCTCTTCCTCAGCCTCCCAGGTGGCCTCTTCAACATATTGGTTTCTCCATAGCACTTTCATGCAGGCAATCTCTGTATTCCTTAGCATTCGAACTTGCTTATCAAGAATGGCAATCAGAATCTCCTCGTAAGACAATTCTTCATTAACCTCAATAGACATAAATGAAACGATGAGATTCGGATCTCCGACTACCTTCTTCAACATAGATACATGAAACATCGGGTGCACCAATGACATCTCTGGTGGTAGCTCGAACCTGTAAACCACCTGACCAATCCTTTGAATGATTTTGTACGACTCGATATACCTGGGACTCAATTTCCCTTTTTTCCCAAACTGCATTATACCCTTCGTGGGGGAAGCCTTCAAGAATACCCAATCATCCTATTTGAACTCCAAATTCTTGTGACACACATTCGAATAGGACTTCTGGTGACTCTGAGTACTTTTAAACTATGCTTTAATGATCTTAATCTTCTCCATAGCCTGATTCATGAGGTCTGACCCTATTAACTCTACTTCCCCAACTTTGAACCACTTAATGAGAGATCTATATCTCCTATCATATAGAGCCTCGAACGGTGCTATCTGAATGCTAGCATGGTAACTGTTGTTGTAGGAAAATTTTCTAAGTGGAAAATGATCATCATAGCTACCCTTGAAGTCATAAACATAAGTACGTAACATATCCTCAAGCATATGAATAGTCAGCTCGGCTTGCCCGTCTATCTGTGGATAGAAGGTTGTACTAATATTCACCTGAGTACACAAACCTTGCTAAATTTTCTTCCAAAAATTAGATTTGAATTGTGCCCCTCGATATGAGATGATAGAAACTGGAGTGTCGTGCAACCTGACTATTTCCATGATATACAACTAAGCATACAATTTTGCTGGGTCAGTAGCCTTAATGGGTAAAAAGTGTGTTGATTTCATAAGTCGGTCCACAATCACTTAAATTGAGTTGAACATACGAAGCGTGCAAGGTAGTTCTACCACAAAGTCTATATTGACTATCTCCCACTTCCACATTAGTATTTCTATATTTTGTTTCAAACCCCCAAGCCTCTGATACTCGACCTTGACATATTGACAGTTTGGACATCTTTCCACAAAGTCCGCTACATCCTTTTCATATCATTCCACCAGTAGAATTCCTTGAGGTCATGGTACATCTTTGTGGATCCTGGGTGCATGGAATACTTGGAACTGTGAGCTTCAGTCATTATTCTTTCCCGGAGACCATTAACATTTGGAACGCATAATCGCCCTTATACCTTTGTGTGCCATCATCTGTGCTAAGAGAAAAAGCCATGGTCTTATGTTTATGAATACCCTTCTTTAACTGCACCAACAATGGATCGTCATATTGCTTTTCCTTGACTTCCACTACAAGTGATGATTCCGCTTATTTTACACAATCACCCCTCCTTCACTAGAGTCCACAAGACGAACTCCCAAAATTCGGTGAACTTCCTTGGCCAACATTCTTTGATATGCCTCCAAGTGAACCAAACTAACCCTGGATTTCTGGCTAAGAGAATCCTCCACAACACTAATAAACGTATCATCTCTACATATTCTGGAAATCATGTTTAAACACTGTAATACTTGTGCATATAGAAAACCTATTTAGGATTCTTTATATACATCATTCTGCATCTCTGCACATTAGATACCATGTCTTTAGGATATTTGCTTAAGCACACTTAGGTTAGCTATTTACGCATAAAAGGGAATAGAACAATTTTACCTAGTCTTTACAACCAACTGGCAATAATTATATCTGCTGAACACCTAGAACAGCATGTCTTAGGTAATAATAATCTCCAAACTGTCTTAGTGATTCTGAATAACTACTGAATATTGCTTACGCCTAGGCAAGCCTTAGGTAACTATTTAAACAAAACTGGAACTTCCCTCGTTAATTATCAACTGCTACAACGAGTAGGCGGGCCTGCTTTGGACTTCTTTTCTGAGTTATATAAGAATCTGGTTCTGACTCAAACACCCTGCTTTAGGATTTTAAAATTCAGACTTTAACTGTATTTAAGTCATGCTATTTATATAAATTATTTGCGGAGGTATACATGAGCCTTCTAACTGCTTATATGTTTCCCCTCTAAATGTGACCTACTTGTTTTTGTATGTTGCCTTAGCATTTTACCTTTAAACCTAAGAGTCAGCCTAAAACCTCCTTCTTATAGGAATAGAAGTCCTAAATTCCTCCAGGAGTGATAAGAAAGGGATGGGTAACAGCATGCAATAGAGGTCAAGACCTATCCTCGCTTTAATACCTTCACGGGGTGGGAAGGGTAGATATGGATATGATGACCGGTGCACTAATACCACGTATATCCCCTCTTCTGAGGAGTGTCATAACGGGTATTGCATTGATATGATCCATATTGCAAACAAACCTAGGATCCTTTTACATTCATAAGCATGTTTAGATTATAAATCTTTTCAAAACCTTTCAATAATTGTTTTCAAACACTTGTGTGTTTAACTTAAATCCCCTCTTATTTGAGCCCTACTTGTCTACTTGCGAATTGCACAAATTCACAAAAAAAAACCATATGGCCGGGAACCACACTAGTGGATCCTGAGGGGTGCCTAACACCTTCCCCTTAGGATAATTTCAAGCCCTTACCCTATCTTTGATTATCAAACATAGTTTTAGTTCAACCATATAAGTGCCCTAATGCACCTTAAAATCGTTAGGTGGTGACTCTTCGAATACCTAATTCCCAAAAGGAAATGAGTCACTACACCCCATGAATGTCGAAATCCGGACTCCTCTCCGATGGAAGTGGAAAAAGGGGCGCGCGATAGCATGGCGACTCTGCTGGGGATATTTAGGCTTTTTCCATTTCAGATTGTTCTTGTGAATTTGTACCCCTCCCTTATGTGCAATTATTTGTTTAATTCCTTTAAGCATTTAATTTCTTTTTCAAAAGCGAAACTGACATATCTTCCTTGTTTCCTTCCTTTATTGCTGCTTTAAATTATAAAACTGGTGTATTTATCGCTTTCTTAACGTGCAAATACATGTCAACATGCTTTTAATTATTGCATAATCATACTCAACATCATACTCCACTCGTGCCAAACAAATACTATAGCAATGCTTTTAATGAGTGGTTGCGCTCTTCCTATATCATTACCCCCAAAATTCGGAAAGGAATATTTGCGATAAAACTAGTCGATTAGCAGTGCAGTCAATAGTTCTGTGCCTTCCCCCTTGAGTTGTCCGCTCAAGGGTACTAGTCTAAAACCCCATAGAAACCGTACTCTGTTTAAATTGTGCATGCATCATGGTCAAACCTAGCTGGGTCAGTTATGTTGTCCACATAGTAATCCTTTAAGATAGCCTTGTCCAAAGTCCACCGGGTTTCCCTAAACCCAAACGGACATCACCACGTTCTGTGCATTTATTTGGAGAACTAAATGCTTCATGCTAATTGTTGATATTAAGTAATCGAGTCCGGTTGGGGTAGGGTCTAACCCTTTGTTTTGTAGAAAATGAAGCACGAGGTCCCCAGTTTTGCTATGGTTAGCATGCCTCTACTCTTGCTGGACTGGTGGAGGAGTCTTCCATAAAATGAGAAAATCAATGAATGGAAAGAGAGGGCCGCCAAAGCTAGCAAAAAATTGGAATATCTGGAGTACAGTCTGCTAGAATTGGAAGGAAAAGTGAGGAAGAGAGTCACCGACTGCCACAACGCCGAGGGAAACGAAGGAGAACACCAGCAAAGGCATTTTTACTGGTGAACCTATGCTAACTGGAGGATTTGATCAACGAGAGCATTCAACTTGAGGAAGGTCCTTCTGGGACCAAGTAGATAGGAGCTTATCTTTTTGCTATATAAATGTAATAAGGCCAATGGCCATTAGTGACTTTTATTTCTTGCTTATTTAGTGTCGATTTGGGATTCGTCTATTTTTATCTAAAATGATGCATTTAGCATTCTAAGTTCTTCAAATTAATTTGTCTCTAGGCCTACCTCGGGCACAAAGAGGTTCCCAAATTAGGACACATTTTACATTCCGCACTATGTGTTTAAATACTGCAATACTTTTTATAATCCTCACTAACTTGATTACCTTTTTATTTTTTTCCTCTATTTATTCCCCTCCCCAAAGGATAGTTCGTGCATTCTGGCATCATCATCTTATTTCACAAGATCCAAAGGCCCTCCACCCACTCGTTCTCTTAGTCCTGTTAAAACCAAGAACAAAGGCAAGATGGAAGATTTGAACAACATCAGGAAGGAGAACACGGCTGAACGCGTAGATGCCATTAATAGCCAGGGTATTTAGGTTCCAAACGAGAATGTGTCACAACTTGAGCAGAAACTGTTGAAATTCCATGAAGATCTCGATCATGTTCGGAATTTGGCAAGCCTGTCATTTTCCCTCAGCACCCCAGACATCAATTTCCCCAACACTCAAAACCCTACACCTCCTCCAAATATCCCAAAGCAACAGAATCATCCCACTCCTCACCATCATATTGTTCCACCAAAGACCCAATGCAACACCTGCCATACCCCAAACAATACTCCACTACTCATCCTAGAACCCTAAAACTCCATAAACGACCATTTCCACACCCACACACCAGGCCACCACAACACTCCTCTCTACTTGGAGACCATGCCACACTCTACCTAACCTATCTCCAGCACACCTGAGTCTAATGAAAAGGATCTACTTATCAGGAACTTGGCTGAGGAACTTAAGAAATTGACTAGTCAGATTCAGGGCATTGAGGGAAGTAAAGGAACATCTAAGCCCATAAAGCTCAAGAATCATGGCACTACTTTCGGTCTGGGATATGATTACACCTGGGAGGAATTCAATAACTGGTTGCCACCATGGCGCGATCCTTACTATCCACTAGAGCAGCACATACCGCATCTGAAGCAGACTTTCCAATAGGCTGACATTATTTATGGGTCAGATGAAGAAGAAAAAGCGCTTGCAGCAGTGAAGAACTTGTTCCTAGAAGACAGTAATATGGACTATTGTGTTATTCTCGAGGAGGAGGGGAGGAAGGCCCTTCCATACAGGCTGTGAGCAGAGGTGCACATCTCAATAATTGGACCATCAGGACAACCAGAGCCGGATGAGCCTCGGGGTAGCAAGGCTAAAACAAGCATCATTCATTGTTTTATTTACTAAATGATTTTTTTTCGCATTTTCAATTCCCGCAATAAAATTTTCGATGATCAAAACAGTTATTCAATTTATCAAAATCATTTCCAATTTTTTCTTATGATTTAATATTCATATCTATCTTTCCCTACTCTACCAATACATCATTACTATTACTTATC